CCGGTCACCCTCCTGAGGGGCTCCAGCAGGGCAGACCAATGGCTCCTACAGCAACGTTTCTATTTGAAGAGAAGTGAAGGCACAAACAGCACCAAGGGTTGTGTGTTGGAAAGAGGTCTCCACGTCCTTCCAAAGGGATGTGCCCTACAGTGCCAGCCTGGGCACTCACGGAGGCAAGGTCATCCGGTTTCATGATGGGAAAACGGGAACGTCTGTCTGTGCGCGTTCTTTGTGCCACCGTTACGAGCAGGGGCTTGTTCACAATGAGAACCATGCCAGCTCCCCGCCCACGGGGCTACTGTTCATGGGAAACACGACGTTCTTTTCTTTCTTTTGTTTTGAGACAGAATTTTCCTCTGTCACCCAGGCTGGCGTGCAACTCACTGTAGCCTTGCCCTCTGGGTTTCAAGTGATTCTCCTGCCTCAGCCTCCCGAGCAGCTGGGATTATAGGCACACACCACCACACGCAGCTAACTTTTCTATTTTGGGTACAGACAGGGTTTCACCATGATGGCCAGGCTGGTCTTGAACTCCTGACCTCAATTGATCCACCCCCCTCAGTCTTCCCAAAGTGCTGGGATTATAGGCTTGAGCCACCGCACCTGGCCTTCTAAACCACTTTTTCAGAGTCCTGGCTCAACCCTAGAGTCCCCACCTTGGAAGACCTACCTCACTTCAGACCCCAGTCCCAGGAGTGCTGGGAGCACTGGGGTGACCTGTCCTTGGGTCTTTGGCAACACTTTAGGGAGCCAGCATGCTCGTGGCATCTAGCAGTTCCATGGCCAGGGCTGATTTGTCCTGCGGGGCCGAATCTGTGACAGTGCAGAGGTTGGTCTGCGTCCCTTCTCACCTCACGGCCTGGCTGCTGTCCTGCGTCGAGGTTTGCAAGGCTGCTTGGCGCCTCTCTGATTCCAAGTGCGGTTCAATTTCTTCTCCTTGGCTCGGCCACTTGGTGGCTTTTTCTCTGAACATGCTGCTCATCTCTGTTGTTCCTTGGGGCTCTGGAAGGGTTATTTATCACAAACCAAAAATACAATTCTAAGGGACCCCAACCATCTGAATGGACCCTCTTCTCGGCTAGGGTATCCAAAGTGAACCTGAAAAACTGGCTCGGGCCATGAGGGGAAAGGGCCGGACAGCCTCCTTATCCCCCTCTCTCTAGGAATTTGGGGAAGGCCGACCAGCACTGCCATCGACACAGACCTTCAGTCTGATGTGAGACATTGACCAGCTCTTCTCTCGGAAGCCTGCTACCTGGAGGCTTCACCTGCTGCTAAAACCCTGGTCTCCACAACCCTTATCATCAGACATTCCTTTCTATCGACTCCAGGTCTTTAGATAATCTTAACTCTTTCAACCCATTGCCAATCAGAAAATTTTTAAATCCACCCAAAACCTACAACCCCTGCCCCGTCCCCCGGAGCTGCCCCGCCTTTCCAGATGGACCCAAATATGTCTTCCATGTATTTGACTGATGTCTTCAGTCTCCCTAAAACGTATAAAACTAGACTGCCCAGCCACCCTGGACACATGTTCTCCTGTGTCACGGGCTATGGTCCCTCATATTCGGCTCAGAATAAATGTCTTCAAATATTTTACAGGGTCTGACTCTTTTCATGGACACTGTGTGTGGAGGGAATCGTGCGTTACATGCATGGGGCGTATTTCCTAGTGTGTCTTGTCTTCCAGTTTGTTTACAGTATTCTTACTTTATCTTTTTAGGTTTTTAGGTAGTATTTATGAATCCCAATCGAGTTTTGTGTCTTGTATTTCTTTTTAAAAATTTCCAGTAGCTTTACTGAATATGCTTTGTGAAGCAGCCACTCCCCCGTTTGAAGGGTGCACTTCAGCAACTCAGTGGTTTTTAGTATGTGCACAGTTTGGGCTCATTTTCATCACCTTGAAAAGAAGCCTGAATGCTGTAGCACCGTCGTCGCTCCATTCCTGCGACATCGTGAAATGCTTATCTTGTGAGATTGTGAGATGGATATGTTGGTTTCCTGACATACAGCTCCTAAAACCTTTGGAATCTCAGGAGTGACGAGGGCATCTTTTGTACACTAATGAGAGGACTGGTGACTGGGGGTCTCCAGGGAGCCTTGGGATGGGGGCCGGCAGGATTAGAGGCAGGGCAGGGGAGGGGCTGCAGGTCGGGTTGATCAGTGGCCAGTGGTTTAATCAATCATGCCTATGTAATCAAGCCTCCTCGGTCAATTTCCCAAAAGGACAGGGTTCAGGGAGCTTCCGGTAGCAGAACTCTCGCAGGTGCCTGGAGGTGGCGCCAGGAGGGCCTGGGAGCTCCTTGCCCTCCGCCTGCCTGCCCCCTGGGTCTCCTCCCCATGCGGTGCATCCGCACCTTCATTACAGCCTGGGTCATAAATGGGTAAACGCAGCTCAGTGTGTCCCTGCGTCCTGTGAGCCGCTCCAGACCGTTATCAAACCTGAAGTGGGGGTCGTGGGAACCCTGAGTCATGGCAGGTGAGTCAGAAGCACAGGCCACACCCGGGGCTTTGGACTGGAAGTGAGGCTTGTCTCAGGGGACCCGTCCTGAGGGATCTGACTTGACCTCCATGGGGATGAAGTCAGAAGTGTGTTGAGAACACCCAGCCGGTGTCCACTGGGTTGTTTGCTGGTGGAGAGAAGTACACACACGCTTTGGTGATGGGGTGAAGTCCTATACCGCATGAGAGTAGGGAAAGCACACTGGTTTTTCCCTATTTCTTTTTGTTTGTTTGTTTGTTTGAGACGGAGTATTGCTCTTGTTACCCAGGCTGGAGTGCAATGGTTTGATCTCGGCTCACCGCAACCTCCACCTCCTGGGTTCAGGCAATTCTGCCTCAGCCTCCCGAGTAGCTGGGATTACAGGCACGCGCCACCGTGCTCAGCTAATTTTTTGTATTTTTAGTAAAGACAGGGTTTCACCATGTTGACCAGGATGGTCTCGATCTCTTGACCTCGTGATCCACCCACCTTGGCCTCCCAAAGTGCTGGGATTACAGGCTTGAGCCACCACGCACGGCCTTTGTTTGTTTTTTAAGATGCAGTCTTGCTCTGTGGCCCAGGCTGGAATACAGTGGCGTGATCTCAGCTCACTACAACCTCTGCCTCCCAGGTTTAAGCGATTCTCCTGCCTCAGGCTCCCCTGTAGCTGGGATAACAGACATGTGCCACCACGCCTGGCTAATTTTTGTGTTTTTCGTGGAGACAGGGTCTCACCATGTTGGCCAGGTAGGTCTCAAACTCCTGACCTCAGGTGATCTGCCCTCCTCGGCCTCCCCAAAGCGCTGGGGTTACAGGCATGAGCTGCCGCTCCCGGCCTCTCCCTGTTTCTTAATAACGGCCGCCACTCCCTGCCAACCGCCCACCTCCTTTTCCTCCCTGTAGTGCTCCCTATTCCAGCCATTTCCAGAAATAGAACCGGCCTCTGCTTGGCCTGTTGTCGTGTTTCCAAGGCCCCCGTGTTTTGGCGTGGATTGGTGCTCCGTTCCTTTAGGTGGCTGAATGACGTTCCGTGGTATGGATCTGTCCATCGGCTGATGGGCATTTGGGCTTTTCCACCTTTGCCTGCCGTGGAAACCGCCGCTGCGAATGTTTGTGCACAAGCTTCTGTGTGGCCGCATGTTTGCTTCTCTCGGGCCCGGCCTAGGGGTGGAACTGCTGTGTTTACAGTGACTCTGTCCAATCCCTTCTGGAATGCATCTCGCTTTTCTATGCTGAATTGTCTAGCATTTAAACATCTCCTCTTTTTACATGGAAACCTCTGATTCCGCTGGAATGCCTTTGGCTATAGAGAGAGGTGAGGACCCAGCCTCACCTTGTTCCCTCCGCGGTGCCCAGCGGCAGTGGCTGCCCGCGTGCCCCGTCCCTCCCCCGCAGATATGAGAAGCACTCCATTGTCACCTCGATTCTTGGGCTTATCTGGGCATCTCCAGGGCCCAGGTGTGTGTCTTCCTCTGTGCCCCGGGCTACTCTGACAGTCCTGCACCTAACTGTGGGGGGCCCTGCCTGGGACACCCCCTCCTGTGGAGCAGCCTGACACTTGCCTCAGATGATTTCTCGTGAGAACTTTGCCAAGGTGAGAATGAGAAAGGCCAAGGGAAGGGCCTGGCAGTGGTTTCTTGGCAGGTGCTAACTCTGTGTGGGGGGCCGGGGCGGGGGAGGGAGGGAGCCGTGTCCTGCGGTATTGACTCGCCTCGGAGGGTCTCTTCGAGGGCAGTACCGGGCTTATGTGGGGGTCTCATTCAGCCTTGGCACCGGAAGCTCACATGACACGATGTTTGCCTAGTGAGTGAACCCTGCGATGGGCGGCCACAGCTGCCTGATTCATTCCACTCCAGCATCATTCCCCAGCGCCCTGCCCTGCGTGCTGGGTACCCAGTGGCCCAGAGGAGCTGGAGGTAGTGTTCCCTGCCAGAACTGGGGGCTCCTCGAGAGGGGCAGGGGTTTCTATTAGGGTGAGGATGCCCCAGCCCCCCTCACCCCTCTCCCCTCCATCCTCCCCTCCCTACCCAGAAGGCCTGCTGCAGCTCTTTGTCAAGGGCCCCCACCTCCCTTCCCCCACCCTGCACAGCCTCCACGTCTCAGCTGGGGCATCCTCAGCTGATGTCCCAGGGGAGTGGCAATAGTGGTGCAGTGGGTGGAGTCCCTGGGGCATCTGAACGCACAGGAGCACCCTCCGAAGCCCTGGCACTGGTGACACCACATGGCTTGACATCCTTTCTCTGCCCGCTCTGGGGTGGGGGCTCCTTCTGGGCCCCAGCTCCACCTTCCACTGTGGCTGCTTCAGGAGCCGCAGCTGCCTGGTGGGGGGCCTGGGCCCCGTGCCCTTCAGGCCTGACAGTTGGCTGGAGGTGGGAGGGCCTGCTGGAGGCGATAAGGGCAGGTAGGGGTGGGGTGGGAGAGTTTAGCCTGAGGTGAGGGAGCAAGGCACCCCCCCATCCACTCCACTCCACCTCCAAGCCCAGGATGGCGGGGTTCCATGCTCACTGGATAGCTTGTGTAAAGTGATGCAATCACATTTTATTGGGGGGAGGCCAGGACTGGGAGGGATGGCAAGTACGAAGGGCCCCCGGCTCGGACAGCAGCAGATTTAGGCAGGACTCCATGAAGGACTTCCCGAGGACAATGGTGCTGGATGGTGATTGCAGAGTCCGGGAGGTGTGGTCTGGCCAGGCTCGAGGGAGGCGGCCCTGAGCGCCAGGCCGGGGGTGGGGCCGTGGGGCTGAGTGTCCAGGGTCCTGGAGGAGGGCGGCCGTCAGTACCGGTTGCAGAGGTTGGCCTGGCAGCAAGCAATGGACACGTAGGGGCCCAGGCCCAGGCTCTGGATGTCGGGGCAGCCCCTGCGGCACGACTTGGTGACCAGAGGCAAGTCCCAGGGGTTTTTCGGGCCCGCTGAGTGGTCAGGAGAGAAAGCATGGAGCTCCCTGAGGCTCTGACTTGCCCAGACCCACTGCCCCGTCTGCCGCAGGGTGGAGGGTCCGATGCCCCAGGCACGTGTGGCATGCAGGCACTCCCGGGGCAGATGTGGTGGCCCTCCCTCATACCCTTCCCTGCGCATGGGTAGCGGACACTGCCCTCTATGCTTCTAACTTCCTGGGGGCCTGGATCAGGCTCTGTCCCCCTCTGAGCCCACATCTTCCCATCTGGGCAAGAAGGGTGTGGGCAGCCCACCAAGGTCCCCACTCACGGGTGGCAATAGTGGTGCAGTGGGTGGAGTCCCTGGGGCATCTGAACGCACGGGAGCACCCTCCGAAGCCCTGGCACTGGTGACACCACATGGCTTGAGCTGCAGTGTGGGCAGACAGGACACAAACAGGGGGTGGGAGTCAGGTGTGGGCCACTTCTGCAGTGACAGCGCCCACTCAGCTCCACCCAGCACGCCATGTCCCTTCTCAGGGACCAGTCTCCCAACCCTGTGATTCAGCCCTCTCAGGAGCTGGGCCACTGTCCCTCATCCTGGGGTGTTAGCTGTCCCTGCAGCTGGAGCCAGCTCGTTGCATCCTTGCCCAGGAAGGAGCCTCAGGCAGGTGGGGCCAGGCAGTGTGATGTCCCAGGGGAGTGGGGGTGCAGCAGCCTGGGCTGTTTGGGCCCTGGGTGGGTGTGTGGGGGGAGGTGGAGGAGCCCTGAGATGCGCTTTCTGCCCACTTTTGCCTCCAGGCACTGGGCGGGACCCTTGAGACCCCAGGGACTGGATTCTGGTGGCTGAGATGATGGGGCGGTTCCTGCCTCCACAGGGGGGCCCAGGGCAAGGGCGACCAGGACGTGGCAGCGCCCGAGCTCTGCCTCACTTTACCCAGGAGGACTGCGAGCTCAGGAGACACTAGTTCTCCCACCAGCGCCACTGTGGGTCTGCCCAGCCATCCTGCTCTCTGCTTTGGGCACCCCCACCCCCAAGGCCCGCCAGCCCTCCTGGGCACCCCCAGCAAGGGGCTTCCCTGCCTGCTCTCTGCCCCTCTTCGTCCCCGTCTTTGTCCTCTCCTCCCGGGTCGCCTCCCTCCATTTCCCAGCCTCAAACATCCTCCATCCCTCCCTTCCTGTCTTCACCCCCGGTTCACATACCCAGGCCTGGGTAAACAGAGTCCCTAATGCCTGCTGGCCATGGGCCTGCTCCCTCTGCATAGCACCTGCAGGGTAGCAGGGTGGATGGCGTCACCACAGGACGTGAGGGCTGCTGTGTTACAGATACCCTTCGGGCTCTGGCCCTGGCTTCCTCTCGAGCTGTGCCCAGGTAGCCCAGCCTCAGGACACCCTGTCCCCTCTCTGCCGGGCCCCCCGCCTCACGGTTACCAAGGTGAAGAAGGGCTGGAGTCGGCTGCAGTCAGCCCGGCTCCAAGCCCGGGTTCCTGTCAGCATGGCTCTGCACACACCAGCGCTGAGCTGACTCAGACCTCAGCACATGCCAGGCCCTGCCAGATTCCTCTGGTCACCCCTGGGTCCTGAGGGTGGAATCCTCCACCGAGGCACCACGGAGAGGGTGACACAGATGGGAAATTTCCACCATGGCTGGCACCTGCCATCAACTTTAGTTCCTCTGCCAGCCCCAGAGAGCAAGCTGAGACCACACCTTCGGGCGAGAAAGGTGGTGACAGCCACCTGCAAGCGCCGCCCTGCCTCTTCCCACCAAAGAGGCTTGAAGCTTCCCTTGGCTGTCACATCCAACCCAGTGGCAGCCAATAAGCCGGACATGCTCTGCTGGACACTGGCTGCCACAGGCCACAGCTGGCTGGGGTAAGGGGTAGCAGGGAAGACGGGCAAAAGGCTGGGGCACTGGAAGGAAGAGGTGAGGATAAGGGTGCCATGGAGAGAACCAGCCCCTGCCTGCACCCCTGCACACACCCACCCTCCCAACGCCTCCCTGGCTTCAAACTTGCTGCTCTTTCTGCCCTCTGAGCAAACAAGCCCAAGTGCAAATGCCATCTCCAGGAAGGCCTCCTGGGTTTCCAGGGCAGAGTGAACAGCCCCAACTCTGACACAGCCACCGTGAGCTGCATCGTCCTGCCCCAGCTGGCATCAGTGTCCCTGTTGCGTGTGACTGTGCTCAGGGCTCCCTCCTCACCCCCACCCAAGCATGAGGGCCTCTGAGGCAGGGTGGGGGGTTCTACCCACTCCTCAGTGCTCCCTTCCCTGCATGCAATGGGGTCCAGGAGAGGCTTGCAGGATGAATGAATTCCGGGGGTGGGGATGTTCAGGCTGGGTTAACAAGAAAAATAATTCTGTCCCTTATAAGAGGGTTTTCTTTTTTTTTTTTTCCTTTTCTTCTTTTTGAGACGGAGTTTCGCTCTCGTTGCCCAGGCTGGAGTGCAATGGCACGATCTTGGCTCACTGCAACCTCTGCCTCCTGGGTTCAGGCAATTCTCCTGCCTCAGCCTCCTGAGTAGCTGGGATTACAGGTGTGCACCACCACGCCCAGCTAATTTTTTGTATTTTTAATAGAGACGGGGTTTCACCACGTTGACCAGGATGGTCTTGATCTCTTGACCTTGTGATCCACCCGCCTCGGCCTCCCAAAGTGCTGGGATTACACAGAGGGTTTTCATTTTCATCGATGAGATTCTGAGGGAGGCAGAGAGAATTTTAGCTTCAAACAGGAAATGCTGCTCGATGGTGACTGTGGGGACACAGGGACAGTGTTCAGACTGGTGCCTGACACACAGGGAGAGAGGGAGGGACAGAGGGGATGTTGAGGTGAGAAGAGGAGGGAGGAAGAGAGGGAGGAGGAGAGGAAGGAAGGAAGGGAAGGAGTGAGATGGAAGAGAGAGAGGAGGAGGGGGAAGCAGCAGGTAAGGGAGGGGCAGGAAAAACTGGAAGGAAAGCGGGATGGTGGGATGGCTCTGGGTGCAGCTGCGTGGCTGGCGGCAGGTCTTTCCCACTGGGGCTCCTGTGCTGGCTCCGAAGCAGGCTGGCCCCCTCAGGGAGACCGTGCTGTCCGTGGGTGGCAGAGAGCAGACACCCAGCAAAGACTGGGGATGTGTGTGCCCCTGAGAGAGGCTCCCCAGTCCTCCAGCTGGAAGAGCAGTGAGACAGCCTGGGGCTTGTTCCTTGAGGGGCAGGTAGGATTTCAGCAGGGAGGGGCCTCTGGGTCCAAGGGGAGTCTGTGGGCACTGGGCATCCAGGCAAAGGCTCCTGTGATGTGCCACATGACCACGTGTCCAGCCCTGATGGTGATAAAGACTTTCTCCAGGTCACGCTGAGTCCCCCATGTGTGTCTGGGACCTTCAGCACAGAGCTGGTCTCCCCTCCTGACCCTGCAGCAGTCCTCAGAGCCAGTGGCTCAGCCTCTCATAGGCCAGGAGGGCGCCCCTGGGGATGGAGACTGGAGGTACGTAAGACAGCTGAGCCAGTGCAGGGACTCACTGACGCTCCACTGCCTGCTGATTCAGGGCCTAGGAGGAATGGGCTGCCCAGGGCCTCCCACCCACAGCCAGGGAAGCAGAGGCTTGGCCCCTGGGGCTCCTGTGCTGGCTCCTGTGGTGGGAAGATCAAGGGGCCAGCTGCTTTTGTTGAGGCCTCAGGGTGGGGGTGAAGATGCCCTGCCAACAGAAAGTGCCCGGCCCTGCTGGGGATGCCAAGGCCAGGTATGCATGGCTGTGCTTGAGAGGTCACCCCCTGGGTCCCCCAGGAAGGCCCTGGGCAAGGGATCTGAAGCTGGGGGTCCGGGGCCAGCCGTAGTGGACGCGGGCACTGTGGGGGTGAGGGTTGGGGGATGCAGAGTGGGTAAAATCGCCCAGGGAAGCAGGTGGGGGGGGCAGAGGAGAGGACTCAGGAGGAGGGACTGCGGATGGGCGAGCAGAGGGACTTGGTTTTCCTGGGGGAGGGAGGAGGGAGTCCAGGGAGAGCAGCCCCAGGAGACAAGCCAGCTGGAGGCCAGGCCCAGGAGGGCTGGAGGGGCACATTCAGATTGTGCGCGCACGCAAAGGTGCGTGTGTGAAGGCATCGCTGTGGACGGAGAGGTCTCAGGAGAGGAAGGGAGGTTTGAGCCAAGGGCTGTGCACCCTGAAAAGTGTGGGGGTCAGTGCGGGGGCTGGGGCTGAGCTGGATGGGCCTGTGGGATTCCAGGAGGCCTTGGGAGGACAGCTGCAACTGGCAGCTGGTAGGAGAACCGGAATGGGTTCTCCAAGCTGGCAGTCACAGCCCAGGGCTGGGGGACAGGGGTTTGGGCTAGAGTGACAGGGGCCTGAGCAGGTGGACCAGCCCAGGACTCACCCAGTGGCAGGCTCAGGACGGCGGCCAGCAGGAGCCCCTGGTGCAGCTGCATGTTCTCCTGGCGAGGTGGGGCTCTGGGCACCCTGGCCGGCTGCCTTATACCTGCTGGCACCCGCCCTGGCCCTCACCCTTGCAACAGACTCTGTGGGTCTGAGTCACCCGGCAGCCAGGCTTAGCCAAGGAGCCGGGCTGGGGTCCAGGCAGTCTGGGGCCATGCTGGCCCCAGAGCTTGCTCCTTAGGCCTCCAGGCGGGCCTGTGTAACCTCATGAGCCATCTTTCCTTATCCATAAGTAGGGCTAACCCTGGGCGATGGGATGGAGGATCCCATAAAACAGCCTGGCACCAGGCAGACGACCGCCACAGGCCGATCTCCCTCAGTGGCTGGGAAGGAGAGTCTGGCACCAGCTACCAGCCCACCCCTTTCTCCTCAAAATGCACCTGAGGCTCAGGGCTGGGTGGAAGCCAGAGACCCTCACCTGTACTCCCACCCTAGAGTGAGCTGGATGACAAGACCTCCTCCAGAGAGGCCAGAACTTTCCCATTTCATCCCTCCCAGGGCTGGGAGAGCAGAGGGAGCATGGCGTGATCAGCCTCTCCGTCTTCTGTACAAGCAATCACGGCCATTGACACCCTGTCACTAATGCCCCAGGATCTGTGCACTGGTGTGGGGGGGGGGGGGCAGAAGGGCCCTTGGTAATAAAAGGGGACCAAAGGATAAAGTAAGAGCCCAGAAGGGACACCCTGGACAGCGGGAGCCATCGGCGATTCCTCCAAAGGCTGATGAGGGGCTAGGACCCCGAAGGGCCTGTCTGTAGCAGTCAGCCCCAACAACCAGGGGCCTCTGTGTGTCTCTTGGGCTGCCCACATGGCTTCCGTCCACCTTTCTGTCTGGGGGGCTCCTTAGGGCTGGGAGGTGGGCCCAGAAGGAGGGAGATGCTGAAAGAGGAGTGGGCAGGTGCAGGCCCTCGGTCCTGGGGAGTTGAGAAGCTGGGGTCAGGAACTAGGTAGCCAGAGAGGTCAGAGATGGTGGGATGGGGTCCTGGGGTCCCACCTCCCTTACCCAGAACCCCCAGCCTTCCCCAGGGGCTTGTCTTCCCCTAGATGGCTTAGGGGGGTCAGCCTCTCTCCCACAGAACGAGGGGCAATACTCGGCAAGCCTCAGGAGCCCAGCCTGTCTCCCTCCCAGGCCTGGCTCAGGGGACAGGCCAAACCTGGAGGAGGCAAGAAAAGCCCAGGGCCTGGACTGGGTGGGGTAGACAGGAGTGCAGCTGCGTGGAGGCCGGAGGGCCCGCCCAGCCAGGCTGGAAAGGCGAGGCCTGAGCTCAGGCCGAGGCAGTGGGGCTGCAGTGAGACAATGAGAATCTGTTCATTTATTCACTGCTCAGTGAGATGCTGGCTGGACCTCTCCTGGGTGCTGGGTACATGGTGGGCCAGGGAGAGAGCGGCCTGGGGGTGGAAGTCCATGTCCTGGTTAGGGTTAGGGTTGGGCAAGCATTAGCAGCAGGGCATGGCCTTAGGAAGTGCCTGGACCCCAGGACATAAGACAGGAGGGAAAGGCGCCATCCGTTTAGCCAACACTTATGCCCACGAGTAGTGAAACCAAGCACCCGCAGAACAGCCTGGCATGTCCAACATGGGGGCCTCTCTGCTTCTTCTGACCATTTTCAGAGTTTTAGAATTTTGAACCTAATCACCTTCATGAGAGAAGGTGAATCAGACACTACCTGGGGGAGGTCGCAGCAGGCCCGGCCCCACTTCCCCGGGACCCCCACCTGGAGGAAGCCTGCCCAGGGCTGCAGCTCCGCCCCCATAGACCCCAGGCCAGACCGGCGCTCCTGCTAGATCTGGTTTCCTGCTAGATCTGGCCATGCTGACCTGGCCACGTCCCCAGGTCCCAGCCCAAGGTCACCCCCTGCAGCTCTCGCTTCTTCTTAGCGGCTGATTCCAGTTCCCAGGAGAAGGTATAACATCTAGGGAGCCAGAGCCTCCCAAGCAGCCACTCCTGAGCCACTTGGAACTTCCAGGACACACAGACAGCGGCACAGATAGCCCTGGGCATGTACCCCATCGAGGGGCCCTCGGTTCTGCCAGTGAGATACCCGAAGTGGGAACTGGGCCCCCAGGGTGGCCGGTACCTCTCCCTCTACTCCCACTTAGCCTGGCACCCAGAGGCGGTGCTGAGGGTTACCGGGCCCCTGGGGTGGCTGGCACCTCTCCCTCTACTCCCACTTAGCCTGGCACCCACAGGCAGCGCCGAGGCTTACCCTATGACCCAGGGATTCTCAAACCTCCCGTTCCACGTTGCTTCTTCTAAGCTTTCCATTTTGCAAACTTACCTACCCCTTCCCAGGCTTGGGGGTCCAAGGAACCCCAGCTGGTGGGAGAAGCAGCTGCGCCATGGTGCCTGGGTGGTGAAAGGGCCAGGAGGTGCTACTGGGGGCAGCTGTTTCACCTCCCTGTGCTTCAGTTTCCTCCCCATCAAGGGGGCAGGATAATGGCTCCCATCTTGCAGGGCTTCTATTCAGTGCTCAGAGCCACAGTGCAGTGGGGGGCCCCCGTCCACCGCCACCTTGATGGACCCAACGGGACCCGCGTACTGGTGTGGTTTCCGCTGGCGCTGCTGCCCGGACCCTGCGGCACACCATGGACTCCCCAGGAGCGGGCCTGGCCAGCATTCACCTCCTGTGTGCTCTGTGCCAGGTGACCAGGGCAGGCCAGCCATGCAGTACGGTCTGTGGGGCTGGGGACAGGGCTGTCGGTGTGGAGCTGGGGCAGGTCAGGGTGGGGGAACGGTGGACAGATGGAGGCAGGAGGCAGGGGTAAGAAGCTGCCCACCCCACCCCTCAACACCATGGCACTCGAAGCTCCTGCAGCTCCTTGTTCTCAGCTGCCGCTGAGCCTCGGGTGGCCAGGCCTCCTCCCCATCACCCCACTGAGCCATGAGACAGGGAGGACCTGATTGGGGAGCCCCTCCCAGCCCTGGCCCAGGAAGTCACCCGACTGGACTAGAGGCTTGCTCGAGGTGCAGTGACTGTTCCCAGGCTTCCCAAGGACAGGGAGCCTTTGGGGCTGGAGGGCCCAAAGCCACTTCCCTCCCAGCAAACATTTCGAGGCCTTGCCGGCTGCAGGTGAGAGGCCTCAGGAGGCACCTGGCACTCTCGCAGCCGCCCCAGGCCAGGCCTGCTCTGGGGGTAGGGGCGAGGGGCATGCTGGCAGCAGCTCCTTCCCAGCTCCTGGCCTGTACGATGCCCATCTTCACTCTGGGGAGTCACATTCCTCCCATTCCAGGCCCGTTCCCACACTGCTCTCCTCCAGAGGAACCGGGTGTCTCGGCAAAAGACTCTGCCCCCCTCCTGTCCTCATGTCCTCAGGGCCGACAATCAGCCCCAGCCCCAGGAGCAGAACGCAGCCTGCATGCAGACTGGCTGCAGGGAGACCCCTGGGGTGCATGCAGACTGTCATCCCCCATCCCCCCGGGGTCCCACATCAAAGCTCTCAAGATGCCATTTCCAGCAGGGGCTCCCCGACCAGGGCCACACTTTGGGGCAGGGGCAGTATCACTGCACGGACGTCTGTTTCCATCCTGCCCCTGCAGGACGGCTTGAAGAGCTCCTCTGAGGACACCAGAGCCGGGGGGCACTGCTCAGGTGGGGGCCTCGGCTGCAGCGTGACTCATGGCACTAAAAGGTCTCATGCCCCCATTCCCTGGGAGGCTCTAGGAATCCCCACCCCCAGCTGGGGCTTCCGCCCTACCCTCCCTGCCAAAGCAGTCCCAGGTGCAAGGCGCTGGGGCACCCACTCACTGACCCAGTCCCGCTGTGGGGAGGGGCTTGGTCTCCGCCCACCTCACCCCTGCCCTCTTGTGGCCACAAGAGGGCAGCACGCTCCCACCTCCCCACGCCCTTGCCTGCCCCACGCTGCTCCTGACCCCGGGCCTATCGGTGCAGCTCCCAGCCCTGCTCCACCAGGTGCTGCTGTGATTGTGGACCAGGCCTCAGCAGGCCACCTGCCCTGCCCTGCCCCTTTCCCTTCCTGCCCAGAATAGCACTGGCCTGGGCAGCGACCAGGACACACCAAATATAGCACAGCCCAGCTCCTGCCAGCCTCAGGCCCGGTGCCCTCCCTGTGAGGGGGTGGGAAAGGTCAAGGGGTTTGACAGAGAGGACACAGACCCCCTTATTGGACCTGGAAAAGCCTCTGCAGCTTCGGAGGTCTTGGGGGCCTGCTGAGGCAGAGCCGCCCCCTCCCCTGCGAGGGGTGGTTCCCAGGCGGCCTGGCAGCCTTCCTCGCTGCCAGGAAGGACAGTGCCCAAGGCCTTCCTCTCGCAGCTGGGTCCCGCACCCGCCCCGCAGCTCCTGGCCTCAGGAGGAAGTATGGCAGCCGTCCTTGGCCTGGAAGAGTTCTTCCTCTGGAGTCCTCACCAAGTCCCTCATCTTTCCCTGCCCCAGCACAGCCTGGCAGGCGGAGGCAGGGGCCTTCCCAGAAGGTGAGCTTGATCACAGCACCCATTTGCTCAGTGCTCCTCGTCTGACTGGGTCCCTGCCCATAAACAGCACTGTGCCAGAAGCCCCCAGCCCTGGACAGGCGAGGGGCTGAGCCCACCAAGGCCAGACACTTTTGGGACCCCACACATCAGTCTTTAGGAAACCAAAGGTCAAGGCCTCGAAGTGAGGTCGGTGGTGGTTGGGGGAGAGGTGGCTGGGGTCAGGCGTCCTCTTGGCCACAGGCCCAGGCCCTGGGCATGGCTGAGGAGGTCTCAGGGAGGGCAGAGAGTGAGGTGGGGCGAGCGGGGTGCGAGGGTGCAGCAGTGTCTCCTGAGAGCTTTGTTCTTGACTGGGTCTGCCTGGGGGGCTTTAGAGCAGACCCCAGAGGGTGGCCAGGAGGATGGGGGCCAGGGCCAGGGTCGCTGGGGCGGCAAAGCCGGCGCCGTTACAGAGGTCATATTGGCAGCAAGAGGTGGTGGACGCGTGCTTGGAGTAGCCATCGTACACGGTCTCGAAGCAGCTGGGTACGCAGGACTTGCTCACCTTCATCCTGGTGGGGGTGTAGTCTGCAGGGGGGTGGGTTGGTGAGTCAGCTCCCCGTAGAGGGCCAGGGGCACAGCCGGCCCCACCCCAGCATGCAAGGCCATGAGGGGAGGGCCCTCAACTTGGAGCTTCACGACAGGATCTGGGGAAGGCCTCCTTCCTCAGGACCCCTACATGCTCAGGAGCAGGGCAGAACCCCCCTCCTCGTGCTCCCCAGGCAGGGCCATGCAGGGCCCCCAGACTCACAGGTGCGCGTGGTCATGCAGTAGGCGACCATAGCCGGGCAGCGAACAGGGTTGAAGCAGTTGTCTCCATTGTAGGCACACACATGGCAGTCCAGGGCCGGGGCTGGGCCGGCAGATGGGCGGGAAGGGAACGGGGTCACAGAACAGGAAAGTCCCCTCCTCCAGCCATCAGGCCCCCAGCCCATCACCTTCCCCAGGGCAGGGGGCTGGAAGGAGGAGTGGTTGCTGGGAATTCTGGCCTCTTTCCCTACTTTCAGCCCACCTGCCCTCAACATGGGCCTGTCCATCCCTCTGTCCTTTGTCCATCTTACCCAGAGGTAGTCCCATGAGGGCCACCAGGAACAGGGTGAGCAGGGGCATCATGGCTGCAGGCAGGAGGACAGCGTGGAAGTGGGGAGGTGGACAGCAGAGAGCCCTGGATCCAACTCAGGGTGGTGGGCGGAAGACGCGGGGCTGGGCCTGCCTCCCACAGCTGCCGCGGGAGTCCTGCAGCCCTGCACAGCGGGGGCAAAGACAGGTGGTCAGTGCTGGGCCCTGAAGGACCCATGGGGGCCTGGGCAGGGATGAGGGTGGGCAGAGGAGCCACCCAACTCAGTGGGTGTCAGGAAAGGTTTCCCAGAGGAGACACTTGGGATGGGACAAGAGGGGAGCGCTGGACAGGGGAGGGGGAGGATGGGAGGAGAATGAGGGGCAGTGCCAGAGAAGGAGTGGGGGTGGGAAGTGCTAAGGGGAGGGGGAGGGATGGGAGGAGAATGAGGGGCAGTGCCAGAGAAGGAGTGGGGGTGGGCAGCGCTGGACAGGGGAGGGGAGGAATGGGAGGAGAATGAGGGGCAGTGCCAGAGAAGGAGTGGGGGTGGGCAGCGCTGGACAGGGGAGGGGGAGGGATGGGAGGAGAATGAGGGGCAGTGCCAGAGAAGGAGTGGGGGTGGGCAGTGCTAAGGGGAGGCAGAGGGACCTTAAATGCCGCCCCAAACAAGGCCTTTACCCAGGGGATGGTTGCTGCAGAGGTCCTATGGGAGCTGGTCCTCGCCCCCATCCCACACAGGGCCCTGGGGACGGATGACTAGCCATGGCAGGACTGGGCCCGAGGCCTGGGTCTCATCTTGCTGTTTCCCTCCCCTCTGCTCCTGGGGTGTCCCTACTTGGTGCCCCTTCTTCCAGGAAGACCTCCAGAGCCCTGGTTAGGGCTGTCTGAGTCCTCAGCCACTGCAGAAGCTCCCCAGCAGTGATGAGCTGTTCCCAGCTTGTGGGGAATGCATTTTGAGCGCCCGCCCCCCCTCCCACGCCCAGGGCACTTGGGCCAGACCGGAAGAAGCAGGCTGGGCCTGGTGTTTGGAATGGGTATGCCTCCTCTCTGAAAACAGGTTTACAGCGGGGAGGTGGGGGTTGGATTATGATTCCCCATCCCCCGCGGGGATTCTCAGCCGTCGATCCCCGTACTGGAGGACGAAATTAGACTTATCCCGTCCTGAAAACAACAAATCTGTTTTTCATAACACATTTGCCAGGCCAACCCCAGGATGCCAAAGGCCAGAGTCCCGCGAGGCCTGCGGCTCGGAGCTTCCCGCCCCCTCTAATAGAGCCCCGCCCCAAAGACTGCGGTCCCGGGTCGAGGGGAGGGCTCTGGGCGCGAGCAGAATTATTAGGGTGACCTCACCTGTGACCTTCACCACCTTGAGGCACCGCCGCGCCTGGGAGTCCCCGCGGCCGCTCGCCAGTAAGTGCCTCCCTCGGTCAAATTGAACGCGCGTCTGTATGCCCCGCAGCACCCGTGCCGCATCGCCAGATGCCCACCGCAGGCCCAGCGCCAGTCCCGCCCTCGGAACGGTCCGCCCAGCGAGAGCTCCCCACAGGCCCCGCCCCTTCCCCGCCTCCGTGGAGACCCACCGAGCCAAGCTCATCGCAGGCCCCGCCCCAGCCCCGCCTCTTGGGCCCCTACCAAGCCGTTTGCCACAGGCCCCGCCCCTTCCCCGCCCCTGCCTCGCCTCTCAAGCCACTCACCAACCACAGATCACCGCCGGCCCCCGCCGCGGCCCCGCCCCTTCCCCGCCTCCTGGGCTACCCACCAAGCCCAGCTCACTGCAGGCCCCGCCCCCACCCCGCCCCCGGACGGCTGGCTCGTGGGGCGAGCGCTCGGACCCCCACGCCAGCCCAGGCACCTGTATCTCCGACACAGAGGCCGTCACGCAGTGACTCCCTGGCGACCCTCAGACCCACGTGTTCTGCCCGGACACTGCGCAGACCATCTTCACCTGGACCCGCGGCAGCCCAGCCTTCCCCGCAGCCGCCTCCGCCCGCTCGCCCACGCTGCGTGGCTCGGCGCCCCACCCTGCCGTCCCCGCCCCGCGCTCCTCCAGCGCAGTCCTAGCAGCTCCAGAGCCGGTGCCCTTCGGCCTGCGGGGTCCCTGGCGCCGCCCGCTCAGCCTCCGCGCTGGTCCCCGCTAGCAAAGCTGGAAGGCAGCCCCGTGCTCCGGGGTCCTCTCACCATCATAACCTTAATGTTAATAATTATCTTTACATTAAATACTTAGATTGTTGGTTCTGTTTTTGGCAAAATGTAATCGAATTTCCTGGGTCCTAAAGTTTTCATTTTTTTCCAATGTGAGAAAGAAAATAAAACATTTTCTTTTCTCATTTTTTACTTTAAAGCATTTTTGCGGGCCTGAGGTGCAGAATACCGCATGTCTGCTGGGCAAGCGGGCTCTGGTTCCGGGTGAAACCCCTGGGTCCCGACACACTAGGCCAGTTCGTCGTTCTGTTTGCCGAGCGGTAACGCGCGCCCTAGCGTACCAGGAGCCGGGGAGAGGACAGAGAATAAAACCAGCAGACGTTCCAGAATATTCCCGCCCCATAGAGCTCACACTCTGGTGAGAGAAGAGGCGTAAAATGAACGCATAGGTCAGAACCGGAGTGTGTCGCGGGCTTCAGCCTCAGACCGCTATGAATTAACCCTCCCGTCTTAACTAAATACGAGGCCAAATACACAAAACAACATGTTTTTAGCCATGACTCAACAGTGGACGGGCAGCACCGGGCAGTGATCCCTTAAAGAACCGACAGAAATGAAGTGAGCTGCAGGATGGGGGCAGGGAGGGGCCTGGAGAGAGCCCAGGGCCTCCGGATGAGCAGAGTGGAGCGTCCTGGCGGGGCCGCTGAAGTCACAGGGCAGGAGGCTGGAGAGGAAAGAGCAGCGGACAGGGGAGGAGGGAGAGGCCCAGAGGCTTCCCTGAGTCCTTAGCCCAGGACCAATTATGGCAGCATTTGAGGAACCTCCCCCAAAACATGGAAGGAACCGCTGGCAAGGAGCCGTAAACAATTCCCAGAGCTCACCCCGGTGGGAAGCGTGCTCCGGGGTGCAGGGGGAGGAGAAGCCCGTCCTGCACCCACCATCCAGCTGTGGACTCAGAAGGGAACCACCTCAAAGGCCAGTCAGATCAGTCCCAGGCTAAAGACCAAGTTCAACGCAACCAGCAAAGCCTCAGTGCATGCCTTGAAAGGATCTGTCTCCAACTCAACTGCATCCAAGAAAAAACCTTAAAATTATTTAAAAGAAGGCTGGGTGCGTGGTGGCTCACACCTGTAATCCCAGAACTTTGGGAGGCTGAGACAGGCAGATCACCTGAGATTGGGACTTTGAGACTAGCCTGATCAACATGGAGAACCCCCACCTCTACTAAAAATACAAAAAATTAGCCCGGCATGGTGACGCATGTCACCAGCTACTTGGGAGGCTGAGGCAGGAGAATTGCTTGAACTTGGGAGGTGGAGGTTGCGGTGAGCGGAGGTCACGCCACTGCATTCCAGCCTGGGCAACAAGAGCGAAACTCCATCTTTATTTAAAAGAATACAAAGACAGTCCCACTCCCGTCAATACAAAATTCATTCAATAAAATGTCTGACATCAAATGCACCTCACCAGGCATGCAAAGAAACAGGAAAATGGGAGGCACAGGGGAAGAAAACATAGGTCACACAGATGAAGTCTTAGTAGGCAAGCATGTTAACACAGATTTGTAAGTGAATTTTGCGTGTTTGAAAAGCATGAACATATATGATGGGGCATAGCAGTTTTAAAAGACACAAATCAAACTTCTAAAATATGAGAAATAGGTTTAAGGTGAAAAATGCACAGTGTGAGGTGAACAGCAGATTACAGACGACAGATGAGTGAACGGAAGCTCAGCATTAGAAACTACTAAGAAGGTGTCACAGGGCCAGGGGCACTGGCTCATGCCTGGAATCCCAGCACTTTGGGAGGCCAAGGTGGGCAGATCACATGAGGTCAGGAGTTCAAGACCAGTCTGGGCAACATGATGAAATGCCATCTCTACTAAAAATACAAAACTTAGCCAGGTGTGGTGGCACATGCCTGTAATCCCAGCTACTTGGGAGGCTGAGGCAGGGGAATCGCTTGAACTCAGGAGGTGGAGGTTTCAGTGAGTCGAGATCATGCCACTGCACTCCAGCCTGGGTGACAGTGCAAGACTCTGTCTCATATATATACACACACACATACACATAAATACATATACACACATATACATATTTACACACACAATAAAATAAAATAAAAATATAAAGGAATCACAGAAGAAAAGCCAAGACTGCCAGTGGGAACAGAGCATGTGGGAGCTGCGGGCTGCTCTCTTGTGGGTAACACCCCCCATGGGCACCGAGGAAGGAGAACTGTGCAGACCCCAGGCACAATTAGTGCCTGAGTATAACTCACTGCTTACTGTATCTAGCTTATATATAATCATACTTAGTCCATATAATCTTTCTATATAATCATGTAATAACTCACTGCTTACTGTATCTAGCTTATATATATAAAATCATACTTAGTCCATATAATCTTTCTATATAATCATGTAATAACTCACTGTTTACTGTATCTAGTTTATATATATAAAATCATACTTAGTCCATATAATCTTTCTATATAATCATGTAATAACTCACTGCTTACTGTATCTAGCTTATATATATAATCATACTTAGTTCATATAATCTTTCTATATAATCATGTAATAACTCACTGCTTACTGTATCTAGTTTGTATATATAATCATACTTAGTCCATATAATCTTTCTATATAATCATGTAATAACTCACTGCTTACTGTATCTAGTTTATATAATCATACTTAGTCCATATAATCTTTCTATATAATCATGTAATAACTCACTGCTTACTGTATCTAGTTTATATAATCATACTTAGTCCATATAATCTTTCTATATAATCATGTAATAACTCACTGCTTACTGTATCTAGTTTATATAATCATACTTAGTCCATATAATCTTTCTATATAATCATGTAATAACTCACTGCTTACTGTATCTAGTTTATATATATAATCATACTTAGTCCATTTAATCTTCCTATATAATCATGTAATAACTCACTGCTTACTGTATCTAGCTTATATATATAATCATACTTAGTCCATATACTCTTTCTATATAATCATGTAATAACTCACGGCTTACTGTATCTAGCTTATATATATAATCATACTTAGTCCATATACTCTTTTTATATAATCGTGTAATAACTCACTGCTTACTGTATCTAGTTTATATATATAATCATGCTTAGTCCCATATACTCTTTCTACATAATCATATAACGGATGTAGTCGGAGCTGTACCAACACATTTAGTGTGATTTATAGAATCCTTCCACATAATCATACAGTAGTTTGTAGTAGGAGGAATGCCCAGAGCAGTCACAGAACAGAAGCAGCACATGGGAAAACAGCCAGACCAGGACGAGAACCAAAGCCCCAGGCGGTGGCGTCCCTGTCTGAAAGGGGACACGCTGTATGGCAAGCTTGGAGCAAGAGCCTCTCCTCCTGAGAAAGGAGCTGTGGTACCCGCATCCAGTTCCTGTGGAAAGCAGGCCTCAGGCCTGAGATCCCGCAAATAACCGAGGGAGAAGAACCCCTCTGATGTGACCAGTCACGGCGGCTGTACACCCTGTTAGTCTTTTCTCGCTTCTGTGCTAGCTCAGATCATCCTCCCATAAATATCTTAAGAGAAGAGCACATGTCTTTCAGCTCCCAGTGCATGGGCTTACAGTATCCTTCTGTTAGAAATCCTTTGACGTCTCCAGTCCCCAGATAAGAAGTGTTGCTCACAACACCTGTTGCACACAGTCCACCTACTTGCCTCGGTGACCTAATGGGGTTGGACCGCTTTTCTGTACACAACCCTCTACTACTGTGGACGGCACAGCCCCCTACTGTGCACGGCCCACCTCTCTGCCCAGGTGACATAGTGGGCTGGCCCCCTTGCTTGTGACTCACATGATTATGTATGCCCTATCACTAAGACTATAGATGATGACCTCACTCACCACCCTGCCCCCTGCTTGTACCTAATAAATACAGATGCTTATGAGCATTTGGGGCCTCGCCTGTCTCCCCTCATAGGTGGCGCGGTCCCCCGAGTCCAGCTGCTCTTCATCAGTTCTTCAGCTTCCTGTCTCTTTACTTCTCATATCCTGCACCTCAGCACAGCATAAGGGACGCCCCACGACCCTGTGGGGCCAACAGCCCTACACTCTCTGTGTGCCATTAGGGTCACAGAAGAAAGGAAGCAGGGACAGGAACAGATATGCAGGAAACGGTTGCCACGATGTTTTCAAATTCGCCGCAAAGTGTAAACCTGCAGAACCCAGGGATTCAGTGAACCGCTAAGCATAGAAATATGAAGAACGCTGCATCAAGGAGGCATCATCCAGTTGCTTTGCACTAATGACAGAGAAAAAAATTAAAATCAGACATTATGTACAGAATATTCTTGTCAGTAACAGTCCCAGCTGGGACGCTGAAGCCGCGTTCAAAATACAAAACAAACAGAAATCCCACCTGTCAATTTGAAATTAAATGCCCAGCCTAAATGAAGGCAAGTCAAAGACTTTTTCAGATGCCA